ACCAATTTTTCTGATTGGATTATTGAGGTTTCCATTTTCAAGCACCCACAATCAATCAAAGCACAATTTTTAGTAAGTGTATTATAAATCATTGCAACCTCACATTTCCATTTATGTTATAAAATTTAGCCTGATATGTATTTTAACTTTATTGGTTGCATTATCTGTGGTCATGTAATAATTCTAACAAAGTTGAAATTAATCATCAATTGCATTTTGATGAGGTAGTCCCAAATAATTGAATACTGAGCATATGGGTTTTTCCATTTAAACTTTTATTTTAATATCTGAAACATATATAACTTTAAGTGTTATTTTGTAATTGATGTTTTAAAATTTGAGTTATGATATTCATTTAAATGTTTGTTTTAATAATTATTCTATGAATTCTAATTCTTAATTCCTGTATTATTAGCAATATTTATAATATATCATGAAACTATTTAATCATTCAGAGAGTTTTATTAAGACTAGGAGTTTTGGAAGTCACTATCTGTTTTGAAAAAATAATGAGAATTAAGAAAAGTGAATTTAAAATATGAAAACTACATTTATTTAAAAATAAATTGTTGCAAAGAATAGTATTATCAATTTACCATGTGCAGGTAGTAGTAACTGTCATGGTCTTTGTACATTGATCGTCTTGGTGACCTGCGAGTAATGGTCTTCACATGGTTACAACAAACATATAGTACTTTGTGTTTGCAATGCTCATTAAGTTGTGATTCTTATTTAGTGAACGGTGCTAAGTAAATTTAATGAGAACACTAACCACAAGGATCAATGGTTAAATTGGTATTCTCACTGAAACTCTCCTTCTAAAAGACTGGAACTATGTTTACTGTAAGCACCCTTTCTTTGAGAGTTCAGGAAGTTCACTAAAATTAGCTAATCAGATTATATTATCTAATTTTTATGTAAAAATATGGATTTGAAATGCACATTTGTATGCCAATATGGCATTTCTAAAAAATATATATTATGACACTGAAACATGTAGTCACCTAAATACTCTGCTGTATTTTTAATAGGTATCAAGGTTATTGTGATTTAGCTAGCTTTTGATGATTTGACGAGTCTTGTTTGTCCTTTACACTTGTAAAATTAATAAAGAGGTGTTAATGATACATAGATTTGTAGCAAAATGTGAAGTATGTGGCGTTCCGACAGATACTTCAACTTCTATACATAAACATGGCGCCATGTGTAAAATCCAGTTCTTTATCGGAGCAGCAAAGCGACGTCATTACTCACTCAGACTTCTCGCAAAACAACTGTACGCGACGGTAGCATGAACTGTGTTCCGAGCTCTGCGTTGATCTCTGCAATGTAATTTAAATTGTAATTTAGTACTTAATATATTCTTTTATTATTGTGGATGTAACTCAAGCAATTATTGGTGTCGACTTCTTGACACATTTCCACCTTCTAGTGGATGTCAAGAATAATTGTTTAATTGATGCTACAACTCAGCTGACATCACAGGGCCAAGCTTCTCACATATCGAACGTACCTACCAACATAAGTGTTGTATCGGGCAGCACACGGTTTCATTGGTTATTAGCAGAATTCCCTGACATTTTAAACCCATCCAAATCAGGGCATCATACTCATCAGCCAGAAGTGTATCATCACATTGAAACACATGGCCCACTTTTATTTTCCAAGCCTCGTCATCTTTTTCCAGAGATGCTAAAAGCTGCTCGCAAAGAATTTGAATTCAAGCTAGCACAGGGAACCATTCGCCCATCTAAAAGTCCATGGGCCAGTCCACTTCACATGGTTAAAAAGTCTAATGGTGACTGGCAGCCTTGTGGAGATTATCGTCAACTTAATGCCGTCACAGTCTCTGACAGATATCCAGTCCCACATATCCAAGACTGTACCCATCTTTTTCATGGAACAAACATATTTTCTACCCTCAATCTTGCCAGAGCATATCATCAGATCCCAGTGCATGCTGAAGATGTGCCCAAGACCGCAGTGACTACAACATTTGGTCTCTTTGAGTACTTGTACATGCCATTTGGCCTTCGCAACGCTGGCCAAACATTTCAGCGATTCATACACCAAGTGCTGTCTGGTCTTGATTTCTGCATCCCATATTTTGATGATATCCTGGTTGCATCTACAGGTGCAGAAGAACATTTCCCAATATCTGCGTCAGATTTTTCACTCACCTTAAAGAGCACGGGCTAAAACTAAATCCATGCAAATATGTACTTGGTCAGCCCACAGTTTCCTTTCTTGGATGTCTTATCACTCAGAATGGAGTAAAACCTTTACCTGAAAGAGTCAAAGCAATTAACGACCTACCTCAACCAAAAACCATCTCTGAACTAAAAGCGTTTTCCTAGCAATTTTAAATTTCTACCCTTGCTTTCTGCCAACATGCCTGCAAAAACACAAGCCTGCCTGCACGAGTTTCTGAAGAATAGCAAGGAAAACGACTAACGAGCTGTCCCTTGGACTGAATCTGCATCTGCAGCAATCGTGCAATGCAAGAAAGATCTGGCAAATGCAGCCACACTTTCTTATCATTCACCTAATGATAAGCTCTCTATAATGGTGGCTGCTTCTGACACAGCCATAGGAGTTGTGCTTCAAGCCCATATCACTAAAGGACTTTCTCCAATGGTATTCTTCTCCAGGAAACTTAACCACCACAGAAAGGAAATACAACACATTTGACAGGGAATTGCTTGCTGTGTACTGTGCTGTTAAACACTTCCGGCACAATCTTGGAAAGGATCACGACTTCATCATTTTCACCGATTATAGACCATTAATCTTCGCTTTTCGAAAAACTCTGGACTCATATTCTCCTTGTCAACTCCGACAGTTGAATTTTATTGCCCAGTTCAGTACAATCATCAGACATGTCTCTGGTACTGATAATTGTGTTGCCGATGCTTTGTCTCGGATAAACAATATCAACCTCACCATTCCAGATTTTTCTGAAATTGCAAAAGCTCAGTTGCGTGATGAGGAACCAGAAACCTAATCTCGAATCTACAAACCTCCCTTCAGTTAAAACCACTGCACATTGATCCAACGCTTAAAATAATTTACTGTGACATAGAGAACAATAGAATACGTCCCTATATTCCTGTCAATTTTAGATGTGAAGTGTTTAATGCCTTGCACAATTTGGCACATCCTGGAATCCGTGTCACCAAAAAGCTGATCGCAGACAAATTTGTCTGGCCAGCAATGAATCAAGACATCACAGAATGGACTCCTTCATGTATTAGATGTCAACAGTGTAAAGTATCCCGTCACACTCACAGCCCCATTCAACAATTTAACCTTCCAGCAAGACGCTTTGATCATGTGCACTTAGACTTGGTGGGCCCATTGCCTCCTTCAAATGGTCACACTTACCTCCTCACTTGTATTGATCGGTACACAAGATGGCCTGAAGCCATTCCTATTGAAAATATATCCACTGAAACTGTAGCTCGAGCATTCATCTCCCACTGGCTTTCAAGATTTGGCATGCCTACCACCATCACTACTGACCAAGGCCGACAATTTCAATGTCACTTGTTCGCATCCCTCACCCCTCTTCTTGGCATTCGCCATATTCGCACAACACCATACCATCCATCTGGAAATGGGATGGTGGAACGCTTTCACCCATCTCTCAAACAAGGTCTAAAGTGCCACAGTAGCACACACAGGACAGAAGCCTTACCCCTAGTCTTGCTTGGTCTTCGCACAGCATTCAAAGAAGACATTGGTAGCATTTGTGCTGAAATGTTATATGGTGCAACCCTCCGCCTGCCAGGAGAATTCTTTCATCCAGCATCTACTCCAGCCATCGATCCTTCAACATTACTTCAACGTTTATGTGAGACCATGAGTGATATCTCGCCAGCCCCAGCATCCTCGCATAACAAGCCAAGCTATTTTGTACATCCTACGCTTGAGACATCTTCTCACGTATTCGTGCCCAATGATGCCATTAAGCCAACTTTAACACCTTCGTATGATGGTCCATTCAAAGTTGTCAAACGGACACCTAAACATTTCACCATCACCTGCAACGGCAAACAATCAGTGATTGGAATTGATTGTCTCAAACCAGCATTTCTGATGCAAGATCCAGAAACTTCTCAATCAACATTAATTCAATCCTGTTAAAGAACAACATAAAACTACCAGATCTGGAAGAACGGTTAAATTTAACCCAAAATATTTATAACGTACCAATGGTACTTGGGGGGGGAGTACTGTGGCGTTCCGACAGATACTTCAACTTCTATTCATGAGATGGCGCCACGTGTAAAATCCAGTTAATCGGAGCAGCGAAGCGACGTCCTTACTCACTCAGACTTCTCATCAGACAACTGTACGCGACGGTAGCATGAACTGTGTTCTGAGCTCTGCAATGTAATTTAAATTGTAATTTAGTACTTAATATATTCTTTTGTTATAGGAGATTGTCTACTCTTATTTTCTTTAATTATATCATGCATTAAGCACACGACCACCAAAAGTATATTTTTAAATTTTGATGTGCGTAGAAAAGGAAATTTATGAGAAAATAATATATTTTTGACTTTTTTGTTTTTTGAAAACCTAGAATTTAGTTAAAATAGTCATTAAAATAAACTGATATATGTGCAAAAATAATGTATAGTGCATTAAAGAAGTTTTAGTTTCATTTTTTTCCCTCCCTTAAAATCAGCTGGGATCTTTTTTTGTAGCCTGTCCAGTCAAATTTTCCTCCTCAAAATTAATAAATATTGAATGTAAGTTAAACTTTAATATTGTTTAACATTTAACTTTTTCCATTATAGACATGGTGCATGGTGGAATCTTTCCTTTTTTTAATAACAGTGCAAAATTTAATTGAAGTACATTTTCAACAATGCACTGTTTGCATGCAGTTTATATGTGGTTATTTTTTTTTTTTTTTTTTTTTTTTTTTTATTTGCGATTTAAGTCTAGAAGTATTATTTTGTAGCTTTATAATTTTCCTTTCATATTTTCAGGCTTGGCTAGAAGAGCAGTTAGGTCAAGATACTGATGTTGTTCGTCAACAGGTGTGGCACATCTCCCACATTCCTGATACATTGTATATGGTTGAAAAACCTTTATCTTTTAGTGAGGGAGTTGTACCTCTGGGGCACTTATGTCCCTTGTCAAGTCTTGAATTTATGAAGGATGTTGTCCTTGGTAATACTTTTCATTCTTTTTGTCATATTGACTTTTAAACATTTCTAAAATAGCTATTTTCAAATGAGTGAATTCTTTTTTTAAAGTGTTTGTGTTGTAATTGTGATTCATGAAAAATCAAATCTTCTGTTTTTAATTTATTTGTTCTTAACAGTTCGAAGAAAACTTCGTTTGACAGCAAAACTTGGGTTGAGCCGGGTTTATAAAATTCTGGATCTGTCAGTTTAATTGTTCTTAATGCAGTCAGATGCATAATGTTTAGATGTTTTGCAGGTATTATGTGTGTTATTTTGGAAACAACATAAAAATTTAAAGTGCAAATATAACTTTTATCTGCATTTGCAATCGTTGCGACTACACTTTCTTTTATGTTTCTATTAACTCCGTTTAATCCTGATACAGAAGCATTTATTATTTTTCCTCGTAAATTTGATGATTCAACACTTCCTTCGACAGAAAATAATTTTGCCTGCTGTTGTCTCAAAGTACGGCAAGTGATATAATTCCCATCAAAGTTTTTAATGTGAATTATAGTTGTGGACAGTATTACTTGTTTATTAAAACCAGAAGCCATAGTCATTGCAGAGCTGCTATTAGAAGTGGATTGTTTATATCCACTGGCATCAATCCTGTAAGTCTCCATAGAAGGAGTAAACACATTAGCGTCTGGCAAAAGAGTTTTGCTCAGAGTTTACATTACACAAATTATATGACGCTGCATTGGCGATTTCGCTATCTTCCTTACCTAGATGCAATAATGTATGGTGACATTTATGGCATTTTTTGCACATGTAAATGCTGTTACAAGAATTAATCTTATGAAGCAATGATAAACAGTTAAAGAAGAGCTTTTTTGCCTTTACAAAATTTAATCGTTTTTAACGGATAAATTAAAAAACTGATTACATTTTAACAATATATGATCTCCTTTGCAATAAGAACAAGTTTTCAAATTTTCTGAAAGATATGGCAATACTTTTGAATTAAGGAAACGCTTCGTTTGGTGATTTAGAGGTTTGTTATGTTGCAAAGTGCACGAATGTTCCTTTAAAAAATGTTAACTGTTCTATTGTCCTATTTCATCCTTTTTCAGCGATCTTTCGCACAAGCTTCTCATTTTTTAAATTCAGCTAATTTTGTCGATCTTTTCGACTAATAAAGAATTAGCATATCGCTGAAACCATTCACATTTGTTCTGACACTTTCAAAGATCTTACACATTCATTTATATTGTCAACAAAGTTTAAAAGCAAAGGGGCTATGTCTAAGGCATCTGATTTACAAGAACTTTACAAATATTGTAATTTTTGCACATTAATTAAAGTTTTGTTCTTGTGAACTGTTGCAAAAAATGAATCTTCAAATTCGATCCACTCTTCAGTTTTTCGACTAAATATGGGAAGCGATAACTTTGGTAATATTACTTCAGAAACAGAAATGTCTTTAGGCAAAATGTTCTCTGCTGGTATTAGTTTTTACAGAACTGGATTTTAAATGTTTTCTCTTAATTATCAAATTAATGTTGTCTAAATTGTCTATTATAGTTTCTTTCTCTGTTATGAATGTGTCATTATCTTTATCATAACAGTGTGACAATATAGAATCAAAAACTTGTTTTACTTCTGTTTGAAAACATGAAATTTTAAGATTCATGTAACTGCAGTAAGGCTGTATCTGCTTCATCAATAGTTGAATTTACTCTTTCTTTAAACCTTTATATATTAGATTTTACACTTTTTTTATTTGTTTTAAACAATTTTAATTTGACCATATTGATAAGTAAGTCAAAATTTTACTTACCAACCTTTCGAACGTACGGATTGTGTATTATTCCAGCCCTTAGGTTTTCAATTAATATCTTCTGCGTGACGATGACCAAAAATGCTGTGGATGCGAATATGATGTTTTTACGATGAAATATGTAGCATTTTAACATAATTATTACTAATGTTTAAAAGAGAGTCAATTATTATTTATTGAATTGTCTAAATGCGTTGTGTGCCACTATAGGCGAAAACAAGACTGCAGGTGCTTAGGATTACATGAGTGTGTTCTAGCCAGCATGCGCCAAGAACAAGATATCACCAAATGCATTGAAAACATATTGTTTATAAAAGAAAAACAATTAGTACTCAACAAGACTTGACAGTGACCTTTAGTAATTAGTATGATATTTATGTTTAGAATGTAAACAATAATTATTTTTACCTTATTAAAAAGGTTTATGCCAGGGAAACAACGTTTATAGGAAATTTTACTTCATTATTTTATTGCATAGAAAACCACTGTGGAAATGTACCATCTGCTGTCAGAAATTTATGGTGAACATCAAATAGTACTTGCAAAAGTTGTTTGGACAGTTTAAAAGTAATAATTTTGCTACATATGTAATCACCAAATGTGAAACCACCAAAAGTTTCAAGATGAAGAATTCGAACCATTGTTTTAAAAGAACCACCAAAAACCTTGCCTAACATAATCAGAATTGGCTGCTAAATTAAATGGCACCCAACCATACATTTCTCAATATTTACATGTAGTGGGAATGATTCAAAAGCAAGGAACTTGAGTCCTCAAGAAAGGGACATTGAATGTCGAAAAACCATATTATAATTGCTGCTTCAAAGACAAAGATATTTTTTTTAGTCCAAAGGGATTTGTCCCTGAAGGACTATTGTTTTCGTTTTGCATTGATTCACTATAAACGGCGAATCACTTTTCAAACTGTTGCCACAAAGTATTATCGCCCTGTTATATTTAAAGAAATTAAATAATGAAAAATCTGCATATATTTCTCGCATTGTGGTAAATCAACGGTACGTAGAGTCATCGAATTTTGAATGACGTAATCCTCCTATGAATATGGACATGTGGAAGACCAAATTTGGAATTTGTTTTATTATCGATTTCCTATTTTGTAAAACTTTAACGAATTTTTGAGTAACAAACTCAAGGATTTCAAAGCAAGCAATGGCAACATTGTACAGAAAAAACATTTTTATCTCCAGCGCGTGAGACTCTGTATCGGAAATTCTAAAGATATGCTCGATTTAAAACTATTTTGCGATATTGCTGTTGAACTGAATTTTATGGTTTAAGTGCAAAGAACATGATATTTAATAAATAAATGAAACACACAAGATGTTAAAAAAACACCCCTTTGGACATAATTTAAAATCTGAAACATTTCATTTTTTTTTTTAATTACATTGATATAAGAGATTAAAAAGATATTTTCTGTAATAGTCCTAAACAACCATAGACATTGGTTCAATACTAAAACAGAATATTTATGGAAGTAAGGTTAAGTTATGTATGTGGTATAGTCAAAAGAATGTAATTTACTATGTCATTCATTGTCCCTTTCTTTTTTCGACATTAAATGTCCCTTTCTTTCCTGAACATTATAAGCACGCACTGCTAATCAATTTGAATGGAGTATTAAAGCAAAAGTGTCCAGAATATGCCAAAAGGCGTTATTTTCCCACACAACACTACTTGCCCTTTCTTCAGCAAGACCTGTCAAGGGAATTCTGAGTGCACTTTTCTTGAACTTGTTGTGTATTCAGTACATGCAGAGTTGCCTTCCTGGGTAGCAATTAATGTTTTGTGAGAATATCAAAAACTGACTTGATGACTGGTCGTTCTTATACAACTGGACTTCCTTCACGGAATGCATTCATTGCCGTACAGATGGGTGAATGTTATAGCCTTTTATGGAAAATACTTTTGTTAAATCTTTATTTTGTAAATAAACAAATGGTTTCTGTTTATTTAAAAAAAGGTAGGGTCATATATGATTATTATAATGGCTTATGTGGTTATAAATTAAATAAAAATCTAAAAATGTTGGAAATTTTTTAATTTTCATTTGAAAAAGGGTTAATTAAAATGTTCTAAAAGACAGAAATAATTGGTTACCATGTAAACTGACTATTTGACATAGCATCTGATATTTTAAAAAGTTGTGTTACTCATTCATAAAACACAATATAATTATAATTTGAAATAAGTATTATAAAGAAGAATATGCTCTCATCTTTTAAGTTGTCTTTGATGGTATGGTGATTTGTAGAGGCCAGTTGCCAGATTGAAGCTAATGGTGCAGGGTTTTTTTTATTATTATTATATTATTAAATATTTGAATACGTTATAACTCCCTGTGCACCACAAATTATGACAGGTGACTTAGAAAACTAAACATCGCTTACATTAATTAATACAGATTAATTAAACATTACATGCATTAGTTAAACAAAGCATAGATTCCACAAAAACAGATAAATTCACTGATAAGTCACATGTAGCTTTTTAAGTCATTCTGTGTTCATAATCTAGGTCTCTCATAAGTAGAACAGGAGTTAAATGTTCCAAATCTTGAAGTAGATTTTTAAATTTTTTATTTATTTATTTTTATTTTATTTTTTTTTTTTTTTTTTTTTTACATTCATGCAAGTTGTTTGATCTCTGATGAAGTAACTCTTATATAAGGCTTGGTTATTTTCCTGTCAGTTATAATGCAAATTGCCTTCTGTGGTGCATTGGGCAACATTTAAAATGAAGAAACAGCTAAATGATCAATGAATTTAGTCATATTTGTTGGTAAATGCTTTCTTAGCAACAATTTGATAAAAAAAAACTTATCTTTAATGTCATAAAGGAAAAGTGACATAAATAATATAGCAGGTTTTTATTAACTGGATTTAAAAACTTTTAAGTGAATAAAGTACGTATGCTTTTATTAACTGGATTTAAAAACTTTTAAGTAAATAAAGTACTTATGTCTTAAAAACTAAATTTTATGTTCTTATATCTATTATGTATAACTTTATTATTATTATTTTTTTCCCAGATGAAACTACCTTACGTCAAATGAAAAAGCGTGAAAAAGAGTTAAGACAGACCCAAAGTGCCCGTCGAGCTTATTCGGTGGTGAGGAACCACTGTGATGTAACAAAACTTTTGCAACTACGTGTTGTACGTGAATTTGGACTTCCAGATAAGGTTATGGAAGTTCTACATCGCACCTCGTATCAATTTTTAGAAGAATATGGAGCAGAACATCATCCTTCAGCTTCATCAGTAACTCCAGGCCATCAGGCCCGTTTTTCCGGGGACCATTCTAGTCACATCTATGGGCTACCGAGGATGTACAAACCTTCTAGGCATCTAAGTTTAGAACTTGGAGAGGCTAGAGAAGAATCTCTTCAGTCAGCAAACCAGGTGAATTTGTAATGTAATTTAAATAAAGAACAAATTTCTTCAATTATTTCTCTAACTTTTGGTACAAAATTCATAAAAAAAGTTTTGATTTGGTTTATGTGATTACGGCAAAGCCTTGAGGGCTATTTGCCAAAGGGAAGGAATGCCTTTGTAGAGGACTTTCATGCCTTGTAGAGGACTTCAACTCCCTCATATTCATATTACACAGGTGAAAAACTAAGAAAACACCCATGCAGCCAGGCGTTAGCGGGATTCGAACATATGTCCAAACTACTAGTGTTCAGTGACTTTACCACTCGGCTGCTGGTGGGCCATAGAAAAGGAGAATTTGATTGAAATGAAATCATAAATCAATGGGAAAAAATGCATTGTTTATGTATCCTACAGTCAGAAAGTTAATACTTATGTATTATTGTATTTACTCAAAAATAATACTCACTCAAATATTAAAAAAATTAAGTAGATTTAATATGAAGGGATTTAAACATTAAGTAGATTATAAATTGATGGATTTTTGTTTCATCTTTCTCTTTAAAATGGCAGCAGTAGAGTTGGTTATAGCCGCAACTTATACTACCTTATTTACTCGAAAATATTACCTATTATTGCTTGATTATTTCCATGCACCTCTGTAATTAATATAATGGATGCAGGCCTAAATTGAAATTGCTGAACTAGACATGGCTATTTTAATTAGCAGTAGTTATGCAGTAATTATCTATGTGTTTGTGTGGTATTTAAAAAATGTAATTATTCTACATTAGTAATTTGCAACTTACTCAGGATATTTTAAAACTCCCAATCTCTTTGACTTGTTAGTCTTGTTATATGTCTCATTTACTTTTTGAAATCAAGAATGAGTTAAATAAAATGTATATGAGAAAATCATTTAATGAGTCAATCTTGTGGCTGTTGAAAGTAATGTGCTAACAATCCATAAGTTAAACTTTTAATTTATGTAAGGAAATTTTAAGTAGTAGGCTATACATTCAGTAAATTGTAGGATTTTAAGTTATTTGAATTTGAGGTTTTGCAATATGTGTACAGATTATGTTTTGAACTTGGAAGTTGCAATATATGTGTTAGAAACAAATTTTGCAACAGGTTTCCTATCATTTGCCACATAAGCTGTTTATTACTATCAAAACCAATGCATAATAATATTGCATCTTGTTATTCACATGATGTGGAACTCATTGAAAGTTATAGAGAAACTGGGAAATATTGTGTTTTTGACAAGGAACTCTTGAATTAGTGACATATTCCTGCTATATTATTTGAGCAGAACTTCGTTTAAGTTTCTAAGTAACGGTATGGGATGGAACTCTGATATTCATTTAAGCAATGATTATATTTCAGTGATTTACATTGTTTGATATATATATATATATATAGATATATATGTAGAAAGAGATTGCATGAAAAAATATATATAAAATTCTTGCTGAATACGTTTTCTACTATTTAACATAAATTACTGTTTTTTTAAAGAAAAGTAATAATTTTTGTTTTTACATGTCATGATTCATGGGTAGAGTGACTTGAAAAAGTCTTGTCTCAGTATGCAATAATCTAGTAATTTTTTTTAATGTACTTTTGTTTCATAGTTTACACTTATAGGTTATGTTTGTGGTGGTTATTATTTTGTATTTTCAATGTTTGTAATAAACAAGAGTAAAAAATAAACTAGCTGTAGGCTGCAGATAACTTTGGTTAGTGTCTAGAGAGCTTCTCTTATTAAAAATTCTTCAGTATAGAATATAATAGCATTTATTAATTTTCTGTCCTATTGAAAATATGCATGCTATCCGTAGTCTCTAATTGCTTTCATTCTGAAAACATTTTGACAAAACAAGATTATTGAAAATTGTATAGATTGCTGTTCTGATCTAATTCAGATTACTTTTTTTTTAAAGATGTCAAGAAGTTGTTGTAGTGATCATCTAAATGAAATCATTCCAGACATAGCCATGGCAACATCTCTCCTTGAACAGATTCATATCAGTGAATCTGAAACCAGCCCTGACAGTGGAGGATTCTCACTTCGGATGTTTTGACTGAAATGGTCATTTAGTGGACTAAGAAATAGTCTTCCATGTCAGTGTTTTTAAAAACCATGGAGAAACTGTAAAAATTTCATTGTACATATACTCTTGAACTAACATAACCTCATCATCAGTTGGCTTGCTATGATGTTATGAAATGTGTTGGCTTTTAAAAGATGGTATGCATAGAGTTAGATATCAAATAAGTTTTTTCTTTCTTATAAAGGTTGTTTATAAAATGCATCATTCATCATTGTATAATTACCTTGTTGAAACATGTTAAAGATATGTCTTCTCTTAGTGGAAAGCTAAACTTTAAACTTTTTGTATATAGTGTTGATATTTCCTTTACATTTTTACTGTTTGAAATTTTATGTGTGTTCAATTTTCTGAATTTAAATTAAGTTTGTGTTCTATGTTACTAATGAAATGAAACCTGGTTTTTATATCCTAAAGTACATTTTTTATGGAATCATTTAAAATATATTTGAAACAAACTACTGAAAAAAAAATGAATTAATAGATATATAATTTTAAAACCAAGAGGAAAAAATTGTTTAACGAAACCACTGCAATGTAATTTTAATTGTGAACTTTTTAATTTATATTACATGTTATATAGCATATTTCATAGCTGCCAACCAAGTTCCTGGTTTTGCTGATGAATCAGAAACCAAGAGACTGTAATTGTTAGGTGATATTTCATGGATTCAGACATGGCAAATCTCCATATAGCTTGATTTTTTCTTTGGCCAATACCAGTGTGGCTTTTTTTCACCTGTAAAATTATAAACTGGAATATCTGATATGACACTGCAAGGCATTAGGTAAAGAAGCATAAAAACAAGTTCAATGTGTGTATATGCTCTTGAAATGAAGTAAAGAGATTGTAATATTGCTGATATGAAGGGAAGAGTTCCCCCCTTTTTTCTTTCCCTCCTCAACATTCATTCCTATATACCATACATTTAAAATTTGTAATTAATTGTTAACAAATTTTGTGATTGGGCATTAGTTATTAGTTTTATTTGCATTATACTTAAAAGTACTTTTTCTTGTCTAATAATAATTAATTAATTAAAAACTAATTTAGAATATCTAATTAAATAAATTTTAATATTTAAAATTTAGAATATCTAAGTAAATACTAATTTATTTTACATCAGAATCACATTATAAAGAGTTCAGTAACCAAAATCAAGCATTATAAGTAAATTTATTTAATGTTCTCTCGAAATTGCATTGCTGTGCAGTGTGGAAACCTTTGTGGTTTCGCATAAAAAATCATCTGGTGTTTCAGACTAAAGTGTTGGCAGCTATGATAGTTATAGAAACAAAATGAAACATATTTCGTAAGAAATTTTTTATATATAATTTAAAGCCAAACAATATTTGTAAATATTACTAAAATGAATTAATTTAGCATTTTTCAAATGTCACTGCCAAAACTTTAATTTTTTTTATTAATGAAATTCTTTCACTTAACTCTGTTGTTCTATGTTTTGAATGAAAGGCACTTTTTCTTTGCATGAAAGTTAATTTTATTCCATATTTTTTTTCCATCCTTCATCATTCCAGTTTACTTACTATAAAACTGGTAATTTATTAAATCTGTAAAAGTTTTAATAAAAAAATAAGCTATGTATATTTGTATGCATCATTTTTTTCCAATGAAGTTTTATGCTTTTTAATAGATACATAAATATCTTAGTTATTTTAATTTAAATCATGAATTTGAAATCATTATTCAAGATATCATATATATATATTTCAAATCTTCAACATGTGTGGATATCCTTGATTTGTAAAACTTTATTTCAAATTAATATGTTGCTTTGTTTTAAAAGTTTTTTTTTTCGGGGGGGGAGGACAGTATTTTCCATTTATCCTCCACATCATGCTAAATCCAATCATTGAACAGTTATAAAAGTAAATTATAAAGTAGATTTAATTTTATCTGTTTACTTTACATACACTAGAGTATTCCTTTTTCAATCTTTATTGTACGCAGAGCTATTTAAGAATGCTTAAACACCATTATAAACAATCTTTAGCAAAGATTCTCAAGTGATTAGAAATATTGTAACAGGTTATGAATTAATTTGTCTCTTTGATGGATACAACACCCACCAAGGAAACTTTACCACATTGTTTTCTAATCAGTACAAAATTGAATGTGCAAACTCTCTTGATAGAGAATGGAGCTTAGAACATATACTTAACATTCCAGTCTTATATGAAGCATTTAAAAATCAGTAAACGATATGTGATACCTTGTTTAAACTAATAATTTTATTTTTAGAAGTCATAGATAGAATTTTCTGAATTAAGAATGTCACAGAAGCGGTTTAAATATGCATTTGTTTTGCCTTTGGTTGGCGCCAAGATGGAAAGCAGATACTTTCCTTGCATTCTGGTGCAGCTGTTATTCAGTCATAACAAGTTATTTTAATTTAAATCATGAATTTGAAATCATTATTCAAGATATCATATATACATATTTCAAATCTTCAACATGTGTGGATATGCTAAATTTTAAATTTGATTTGTAATACTTTATTTTAAATTAATATATTGCTTTGTCTTAAAAGTTTTTTTTTTCGGGGGGGGGGTGGTGGTAATTTAACATCAGCAATCCACTTGGCAGACATGATAATTAATTAATTCGCATATTTCAAGCTTTTTCTTTTCATTCACAGTATCATTTGGAATTTGTGGTAGTTATTAAGTAGCGTGCTTGAAATGGGAAAATACAGTGGCTTTTAAACTGAAAGTCATAGAGTTTGCGCTGGAAAAAGAGCAGCAGCAAGAGTACATAAGGCAGCCAAAAAGTGTGTGCTCAATTGAAGCAAACAGCATGATCCGCTGGTGGCAATGAACAAAACAAGGCATGCGTTTCATGTCTCAAAATGTAAGTTTCTGAACATAGAAAAAAAAAGTAGTTGTGTATGTTTGTGATATGTGTGTTCAAGGGTACACGGTAACACAGGAAATGTGCTAAATAAGAGCGCTTGCTGCAGCACGAGAAGAGGATATTCTTACATCGCAAGTCAAGGCGAGTGAAAGCTGGTTGCGCCAAATGATGAAACGAAATGGATTTTCATACAGTGCATCAGAACGGATTGTTTTTTAAGTAAACATGTCCTGTGTAGCTTGATACTAGAGCAGTTCTCGGGCTCGATCATAACAAATTTTTCATCTTCTAGGAGCCAATATTTCCTTCCAGACTTCCTGTTGAACAGTATCCAAAAGAGGACTTTGTACTTATGCAAATGGTTCATCTGATGAGGCAATCACTAATGGAAGTTCTGAAGTTTTTCTCACTAGCCCAGGTGATACTACTTATCAACACAAAACTGATGCTGGAGCCATAGTCTCTAACTTCACTTGCAAGCTTCTGGAAATAGTGGAGGCACTTTTTTGAGCAAGCAAAAAGGCCAAAAGGTTGTCTGTGACTCAAAGGCAGCTTCCCAGTGTAACAGCTTTAAATATTATTAAAATCTTGTAGTTTCAAATAAATAATTTAATTAGATGACCATTAAGGTATTTGTGAATGGCAGTATTTGAAACCAGGGCTCCAGTGCTATGTGCGACTCTCCCACGAAGAATGTAATTTATTTTTAAATGTTAGAATTCTTTTTCCTTCTTGTTTTGTATGTCGCCATTTTGAGTGCTAAGTAAAGTTTTTTCTGTGTTCCATCATTGGAGTTGCTTCGTATCGTCAAAGAAGTATCACAGTTATAATTATTTTGGAGGCACCGACTGAGATCGAATAATCTTGCGTATTTTTATTTTATTGGTTCATCACTGAACATAATATTAGTGATACCAGATTATTACTTCCTGTTAGTATTGAATTGCTTTATTCTATTAGTTCATCACTGAACGCAATATCAGCGATACCAGATTATTACTTCCTGTTAATATTGAATTGTCTTATTTTATTACCGTATTGGATATTATTTTTAATTTCATTTAGTTGTCCAGACAGTAGATATATATATTGCTCTATGTTGTTATTCTTATTTTAGCCACAATTAATGTGGTAGAGAGAATGAACTTCATATAATTTAAATATTTCATTTTTGAAGTATACGTACTTACAAAGTGCATTTAATTTCGGATTCCTGACTGCATTAATTAATAAAGTAATTGACTAATTTGAGGAAATATAAAGAAACAGGTTCGTTATTTTAAACATAAACAATGTCTTACTTAGGAAGAGCTCGTAAGGAATTTTGCAAAAATCTTGCGGCAACTGGGAGTTCTGTGACTGCAACTTTGAAAATAGTCGATTTAAAACAGAAAATTGTTGAAAGTAGAGTTATGATTGAGTATTCGTCAAAGGAGTCTTAGACACAATAATAGAAGAATGGAAAGAGAGGGAGGAACGAGAAGAACGTAGAAGACAGGAAGAGCGGAGAAGGAAAGAACAGTATGAATTAGAGTGATTAAGACTTGAAGCAAAGTCTCAAAATACCGGACAGATCCGGCCGAAAACAGAGCTGCGTCACCTTATGCAGAAAGGAGATATCAGTCTATATTTACTATTGTTTGAAAGGCAAGCAGAATGGGCTCAAATTGATAAAGAAGTATTTGTATCTCATTTACTAGGATTACTTCCTTACGAAGTAACCCAGTTATAGCTGAGAACCCTCCAATAAAGCTAAGACTATGAACACTGAAGAATTTATTGCTAAGACGATTTAAACTAAGCCCGAAAAGTTTAGGCAGAAATTATGAACATAAAAGACTACCGATCCACATGGGTGGATTTCATTATGAAATAAAAATTATTGCAAAGAATGGGTGACTGGTCTAGGAGTTAGGACTTTTGATCAGTTGCTAGATTCGATGGTGATTGACCAACTTAAGCGTAGAGTTCCTCCTGAAAGTCGAGATCATTTTCTTGATGAGTGAGTAGAGATGATTTCGTCTAAAAAATTATCTGAAAAAATTCATGCCTGTGAAAACGTTCGTGGAAACTTTCAAAAAACGTCCTGTAGTGGATCGGCAGAAAGAAAGATACAATGCACTAACTCAAAGTAAAGTGAGTTCAGATAACAAAAATAAAACTGAAAAAAAAAATGTCATCAGGATTTAAGTCGCAAAGCTGGTTTCATAGACCTAGAAGTCCACGTCAAGTTGATAAATATGAAAAACGAAAGACGCACATGCTATCAGTGTGGGTCCTATACATTTAAGCCCAATGTCCAAAACTTAAGAATTACTGAATCTCTCTAATTCTAACAGAATTTGCAAACCAGAGGATTTTCTATTACCTAACTAGTATGGGTTACGTAAATGGTCTTATATTATTCCTATGTCGCAAATCATCACGCCGGAAATGCTGACAGGTGAAATGTGTGGTGCAACAGCCATCGACTTGAATCAAACCTGTTACCATGGCTGAATCGAACTAAATTGCGATCTGGGCGAGTAATAACTAGGCTGCATTATTAGAAATGAACTTGACAAAGGAAGGTATTTATTAGGCCATCGAACTTTTCATGTGAATAAACAAGGAAAGGGCTGATAGTTGTCCTCCCGGTTTATGCTGTCTCTCTAGAGCTCAAAGGAAGAGAAATAGATGAAGAGAAGCTCTTGGAACCGATGAAGGAAGAAAATAAAGCATCCAGAGATGTTTTTGAAGAAGAAGATAATTTACCGGAACTAAATACGGAGATAAGCTCTCATGAAACTGATAAGGAACTGTCTAAAATCATCCAAAGTTAAGGGACATACAAAAATGAGAACTATACTGACAATAAAGAACTTTTAGTTAAAAAACGCAGATAAAATGGGTTTTGAAAGACAGCTTGTAGTTATACCTGAAAAACTCAAGCCGTTAATTATAAGATGTTCAGGAACTCTGGTCATTTGGGTGTCAAAAAGACAAAAGACAGATTGTAGATATTTACTGGACGAGGGTTACAAAGAAACTGAAGATTTTGTAAGAACCTGTGATGCTTGTCAGCGATGGAAATGAAATGACATAGTACCATAATTTCCGAATATTCACTAAAATAAATGTCGATGCTGGTCCCTACCTATTCAAAGACGGAAAAAAATATATTATTACAGCTCTGTGTATCGTCCCAAATATCCAGATGCTGTTGCGGTGACACATTTCTTCGCCATCGTGATGATGCTTTCTTACAGATTTTCAGTCGTAGGGTTGCCAAAAGTGATCAAACAGATCAGGTGACCTCTTTCGTCAGTGCTTTACAGAGGAATTTTGGATCATTTCCGCATTAAACATTAAGAAGCTCTGTGTATCGTCCGCAGAGCAATCCCGTTGAGCGATTCCATAGAACGTTAAAAGGGTTTAAGAGTCGTTGCATAGGAGCGATTCGATTGGGAGAATTATCTATATCAGTCTTTTTGTCTCAACAGTCACACAGAAAGCACTGGTTTTTACACAAGCAGAATTAGTTATGCAAAAACCTACGAACCCAGTAACTTTACTTATGAGCAGCGAGACCAATTGAAAAATAAAATGTTGTCAGTACGTTTGACTTATTACGAAGAAGAATGCAAGAACTGCCGTGGAAACATGAAAGTCTCAACAACGGAGGAAAACATGGTACGACGAAACGCGTGAAAATAGATGTAGAGGATTTAGTTGTTTTTATCAACGAATCG